TATCCCAATACCATAGCAAGTTTCAAGTAAGCTGATCGTATTTTTGAAAGATTAATTGGTGCGTTAAATAAAAATTGTTTGGATTGCAGGAAATGCATCACTGCGCTGGATGATGCGAAAGTACCTTCGGACAGGCGCAGTAAGTTGAGTCTGGATGCCATGACCATGATTAAAATGCTGGAAAGGGATCCGCAAACTGTTAGACAAGCGGAAAGGCAAAAGAAATTGGGTGAGCCAAAACTGACAATGGCCATACCCGATGAGAAGGAGTTTGTCAGTGATGCAGTGCGCATCGATCAGAGTTGTTCGGAGGGTAGATTTGCGCGCGCTGCCACCGATATTATGGTGGGCGAGGAAATTTTGGTGGAGAAGCCTTTTGTCGCAGTGCTGTTGGAGAAGTACTCTAAGTCGCATTGCGATAATTGTTTTATAAGGTACCTATTCGTAGTTGTTGGATGTGATACAATAAATTTAAATTAGGAAAAATCTTTTTTGCAAAATTTAGCAATATTTTTGTTTAGTTTTTATAAAAGAAAAATGGCTGCTTTCAAATACTTGGTTTGTTTTTTTCAGAACCGCTATACCAGTTGCCTGTCCAAAGTGTGCTGATGTCCTGTACTGTTCCGAGGAGTGCCTAACCAAAGCCAGCACCACTTATCACAAATATGAATGTGGACTTTTGCCCACAATTTGGCGCTCTGGTGCATCTGTAAATTGTCATATGGCTCTGCGCGTTCTTGCTAAAAAATCTTTGAACTATTTCTTAAATACTAAGCAAGATATCGACAAGGAGTTAACCATTGAGGAAATACTCAAGTAAGTGTTTACACGTACAATCAAATATTTGTTTATTAAAAAAAAAAAATTGCTGAATTGGAAGAACTTATCTATGTATGTACGTACCTAAACAAGCATAGCGTAAGGTTAGATCTGTGGAATATACCCACCAGGAAGTCGAGAAATTCTTAGAATTTAAGAAATCCATGCTACTGGGATTCCTTAAATAATGTCTCGACGCAATTAATATGTAAGCCACACAAGAACACGGCATTCGGAATTAGGGAAACAAACCTTTTTCGAGCATGCGAAATGAATAAATAAATGGAGGACGGCTAAATTGACTTGGAAGCCAGCTTTGATTACTTTACTTTACGCTGGGGTGGGTCTTCAATGCAAGACTATCTATAGGATTTCCGACTAGAGAAAAATTGGGCATAGGCCTACCAATGGCAGGTGATGGTATATCCATCTACACTGATTGCTCAAAGAAGACCTGTCAAACATCTGCAGCCTCTTCCTAGCTAAGATTTATACAGCAAAGAAGGCAGATGGTCTTCTACTAAATAGCACAGGTACTGGCAGGAAATGCAATCACTGGTGTAACCGTCGGATTTGAAAGAAATCTACATACCTGTCATATATGCCGAGTTGTCCGCATTCAAACCTACTCAATGAAATAAAATACCTATCTAAATTTCTGAGTTAAGGGCTTCAAGAACTTTGCCCATCTGCCGCCCAGCGAATGATAATGGATGCATCGATGACTGAGGTGGGTACTGGCCCGATTTTTGGCACAATTGTCTTAATGCAACTTATCGAAAGTCGATCAAGAAACTCCATTACTTAGCGCTCAAATTTGTCATTTCCTTGCCTTAATATAATTGGTTTTTGATCAAAAATAGCTGGCCTGATCCCTGTCCAGCCAAATGTTCAGATGTCCCATTACCAGGTATTTCCAAAGATGGCCATATTTTTCAACATAATTTATTAGATATTAAGATTGCCGAACTAGAAACTAATAAGAGGCAATTATAATGAATGCAGCTTGAATATCCACTCAATCCATGGCCTGGAAAATTGCAAGTATCTCGCCTGTGAATTCAGTGACATATTCCCAATAGGGGTAATAAATACTGTCCGCGCCGCGCGAAAAAGGCTCCAAGTCCTGACCCTGTGTCAATTTTGGAGCCATTGGTATAATATGTGACCTCGGGCTCAGTATTTGGGCTAAGCCAGCACTTCGCTTCAGAGAGATCACTATTGTGAAACAATTTTTTCTTCACAGAAAATAGTGACATTGAAAATACCTCTGCCTCGAGCGAATGCCGCCTCACTCCACATTGTATTATATCCCCACCCTTTTTTTGTTTTAAGCCCGGCCTCTTCGCGGTCAAAGACATTAAGTGACGGCATGCTCCGGTACAGAATAGGGCGATCGTTCTTTAAGGATAGGTAAACAGATTTCCCATGCTATTGACTGAAGATCTGCTCAACCACACCACGGATGCCTAATTGATAACAGGTTTGATCAAAGAGTGACAGGCCCCACGTCTTACACTAGACAGAGACCGGTTTATATTAACAGACTGCTGCTAAGCCTTTGAACAGTATTTTGTTCAACTTGAGACTTTCATAAAACCTTCTGGTGAAGAGCACTGCACTACGTTTGATTGCATTAGCGTACAGTATTTTGGATTTTTAAACAGCGTTTTTCCTCTACAGACTGCCCATCGATGACTACAGACGAGTATCCCATTTGGAGCGTCATGAAAAAACACGTCCACCATCGAACTTTTTCCAACATGCACTGATGGCCCGCTTCCTAACAAAATGTCTCGCAGAAGCTGATTACTTTGGTGCATCGCCCAAAGCTGAAGATCTGGTGACTATTGGCGGCATACTTTTGCGCACTTTGCAATTCGTACAATTTAATACGCACGAAGTAGCCGAATTGCATGAGAAGAAGGCAGATAGCAATGAGAAGACGGTATTCATTGGTGGTGGACTCTATCCGACATTGGCGCTCTTCAATCACTCCTGCGATCCGGGTGTAGTGAGGTGATGGCCGTGTGGTATTTTGGAAAGGAGTTTCACGACAAATTTTTTATTTTTTGCTTTCCCTCTTACAGATACTTTCGCGGCACCACTATACACGTGAACACCATACGCCCCATCGAGGCTGGTCTACAAATTGCAGAGAATTATGGTCCCATTTATACGCAGGAGGGGCGCGAAAAGCGTCAAGCTGAACTTAAAAAACTCTACTGGTTCGATTGTACATGCGACCCGTGCTTGGAAAATTGGCCCACCTTCGATCAGCTGCCAACCGATGTCATACGCTTCCGCTGCGACGGCCCCAAACAGTGCAGGGCAATTATTGAGGTGCCGGCGACGTGCAATGATTTCATGATCAAATGCGTGACTTGCGGCGAGAGCACGAACATCTTGAAGGGCCTCAAAGTGATGCAGGTGGGCATAAATAAAGCTTTTGCTTTGCTTAATAAGTATCGCAGATGTGATTTTAATTGACTTGCTGCTGCAACGCATTTTTAGGATACCGAATTGATGACACGCACTGCCAAGCGTCTCTATGATGCGGGCGATTACGCGAAGGCGTTGAATAAATTCATTGACCTACTACGCATTATGTACGAGGTGCTGGCTCCGCCCTTCCCCGATTTCTGTCAATGTCAACNCATGCGCACTAAATAAATACCTACATATGTATATGTATGTGTATGTATAGTTATGTGGCTAATTGTGTTTGTCATTGGTCATGAAATTCGAAATGGTCTCGCAGCAATTAGTAATTGTGTTATGGCTTAGTTGAAATTCAATATCTACATAATTTATTAAAATGTTTTTCCCCAGCTAATTAATAGTCGCATTTATTTCGAAATTTATTTACAAACGGGCAAGAAAAACATTAAGAATTAAAAAAACTGCGCAATATCGTTTATAAAATTTGTAAAATATACACATTTAAAATACTTAATAAAATGTAGAAAAGCTCAACATTGTCGATTCGTAAGTATGATTTTGTAAGTAGGTTCCACGTGTTTCCAATTCACCTCATTCTACAGTCACTTCTACACATAAATATTTATGTATATTAGGGTGGTCCAAAACAAGTAAAGTCGGAATTTTAATGCTCTCTATATGGAAAAAATATACCCCTACTTTTTTATTTTGAAATCAAAAAATATTTAGAGGTCCCTTAAAGCTTTCCATGTATTTTATATGGGAAAAAGGACTTTTCGTAGAAATGGCATAAAATTCTTGAAAATCAATATTTGTCGATCGGGGAAATTTGGTTCCTCTTCAGGAGACTTCCAATAATAATACCAAATTGTTTGTTTAACCATTTTTTAATACTAACGATTTTTTATTTCTTCCTCCATTGCATTTTCTGGGGTTTTGGCGGACCTATAAAATATAGTTACTATGAAAAAATTGTTAAATAAATAATTGCGTAATATTATTGGGAATCTTCTGAAGAGGAATAGAGTTTTCCCGATCGAAAAATAATGGTTTTCGACAATTCTATACCATTTTCATGAAAGGTCGTTATATTGAAAACTTCGAGCGACCTCTAAATATTTTTTGATTTCAAAATAAACAAGTAATTTTTAGCAAAAAAAAAAAACCGTCTTAAAAAAAATATTTATATATCTATATATTTCATGATCCAATGATCGGATCTAAACCAAATTAGTATGGGACTACCTCTGAGAAGAATTATTGAAATCGGTTGACGTAGTGCAAAGTTATGCGGTAACATACATAAAAAAAAAAAAAATATTCCGACGAACTGATAACCTCCTCCTTTTTTGGAAGTCGGTTAAAAATTAGGGGTATATTCTTTTCGGTATAGAACAATCCTAGGTGGTGAGAGCATTAAAATTCCGACTTTACTTTTTAACATGCATTTTTGGACAACCCCAATGTATATGCATCGTTGCAAGCACCCCAGCAAAAAATTTTCTGTTTTTGGTAAGCGCTTACTTTTTGTATCGATGGAGTAACGCATTACAATTCGCCCCAAATCAAACATTTTCATTTTCTCGTTTACCCACTGCATTACTGGTAAGTGGTAAATCTCGATTGGGAAGCACTTTTCGAAATTCACCACATACCTTCTGGTTTACAGAACACATTACTTTAACCTGGACATGTCATTGGCGGTAAGCGAGAAAATGTAAAAATGAAAAATTTTTTCTTGAGGCGAATTGTAATGCGTTACTCCATGGATACAAAAAGTAAGCGCTAACGAAAGAATCGAAAGTTTTTGCTGGGATATATTAGATCATGCGCATGTCCAGCTGTACGGCCCATTAAATGCTATACCAATAATTGGTGTACGTATTATAACTGTGTTGTTGTTGTGGTTTTTGTTGCTGCTGCTGTTGGCAATGGGAGCTATGTACTTGGTTGCAACCGGCATAGCTGGCATCGTTGTAGATGCAACAACGGTAGCACTGCACGTGGTAGACGTACTGCCATCCTGTGGTGAAAAAAGGAATAGATTAATAAAACTCGTTTAGAAAAGCGAATTTAAAGGCCATAAACAAGTACTTAATTACTCAAAAGATATATTTAATAAAATTCGCACAACGTCTTTGTTTTGCGTGGAAACGTTTATTGTTCTTAAGGCTTGTTTTCACTATGTCAAATTCCATTTTTTTCATCAAATAGCCTTGAGTCGCACACATGCGCTGCTGAATTGGCTATCTGACTGTTTTTGAACCATATTACCGTAAAGTTATGTAAAAATTCTTGGCGTCCAATTATGACATAGTGAAAACCAGCCTTTATTCTTATACATATATGTGTATGTAAATGATAATTTTGTTCAGCTTCGCGGAATACGCTGATAATGATTAAAAATATATTTTGCTGATTGTTCTATTAGGTCAGATTGGGACAAGTTGCGTACCAATCTCAGGAATTCCCAATTAATTTTAATTGTTTTCAGTCGAGTTGTGATTTATTAAATTTATTAAGATTACTTGATAATTTTTAAACCTCTTGTGGTATAAGGGCGAACCCGAGAAACAGTCAACCAAAAACGGATAAATACGCGATTTACTTACTTCAAAACTTGAAATTAAAAAGACATCATGAAATGAGGTAATGTTCGCTAATAATGCCTCACACATCGCGAACAACGTCGAACATATCAAAAAAAAAAACTAGAAATTTTTCAATTTGATATATTTTGTTCGCGAACAACGCCGTAGGTACGCGATGAAAAATTACGCACAGCAAGAACAATTCACTCGAACATATCACATGTTTATGGACAGCTTTACGAAAGAATTTTACAAGAAGTATTTTACTGAGGTAATAATTAAATTTTTCAATCTCAGAGTTTGTGCATCTGAAAAGGTGGCTACCACGCATGCTTAAACTTAAAATTTTTCCGCAAAAAAAAAAACGTCCGAACTAGGGTGCACAGATACACTGATTTAATCATTAAATGTGCTGATTTTTTACTGTACTGATTTTTAAGAACCCGAAATCTGTGCGCAAAATCTACTGATTTTGAGAGTTTGTCCTGATTTTGTACTGATTTTTACATTTACTAAATATTTTTGTAAATTGGTATAATTGACATTTCCTTGAGGCTAACATGTTCAAAAAAATGGTTTTTGACAACTGATATGTGTGAGCAGATTGAAAGCAATTTCTTGAACGTGTAAATGCAGCGTAAATAAAATTTAAACCACTATTCAAAAGATGTCACCTTGCAATTGCTTCGTTAATCTGAACTTTTACCCCTTTGCTTCACGCCTTAACCGTCCTCCAATGGGGATCAAAAATTTATATGTGAAATCTATGACAGTGGTGTTACCGCCTGAAGGGGTGAGAATGAAAAAAGGCGTTCATTGGACTTTAAGGACCACCCTAAGGTACATATTAAGGCAGTACTGGAATACACTTAATTAATTTCTATAGGCAGCCATATACCGGCCAAGCATTTTAAAGTAAGAGAAAATTACCAAATTCGTGGCAACTTTTACTCAGTTTTTGTATACTATTTTAATATACACTTGTAGTCAGCTGATTAAGTCAAGTGACTTTTTGACTAGTTTTTGCTATTTTTCATTTGTTGTGTTTAATGTTTATATTTTTTTTTTATAAAAGTCTAATACTTTACCTATCCAGCCCCACATAAATCGACATTTCAAACTTCGTACAAAAATTATGAAAATTCAACAAACTTTAATATTTGCACCCGAAAATTTTAAACTTTTTATTCAGATTCTTTGGAAAAATTTCGGTTATGCAGTTTTGTAGCCCATTAAATTTCAAAGGTTAAAATGCAAATTTCATGACGCTAGTAAATCGCGTTGACTTTTAATAGTTTTTTTGGTTGACGGTGCTGTGCATTTTTTAACCGACTTCCAAAAAAGGGGGAGGTTATCAGTTCGTCGGAGTATTTATTTTATTTTTTTATTTTTTATGTATGTTACCTCATAACTTTGGACCACGTCAACCAATTTCGATAATTCTTTTTGCATCGGAAAGGTAGTGTCTCAGAGGTGGTCACATACTAATCTGGTTAAGATCCGATCAGTGGATCATGATATATATATATATATATATATATATTTATATATGAGAGTTGAAGTCGTTTTTTTTTTTGCTAAAAATTACTTGTTTACATATAAAATATGCTCGACAATTTCGTTTTTATGGGAGAAAATGCTTAGTACCATTAGCAAACGAAATTATTAAAAATCAACGCGATTTTCTAGCGTCTTGAAAGTTGCATTTCAACTTACTTAAATTTAATGAGCTGAATACCCCACATTTTTCTAAAGATTCTGAATAAAAAGTTTAAAGTTTTGGGGTGCAAATGTGAAGTTTGAAATGTGGATTTATGTGGTTAGATAAAGTGCTAAACTTTTATAAAAAAATATAAACATCAAATAAACAAAATGCCCCTTGACTTAATCAGCTGACCACAAGTGTATGTAGGTAAGTGTAGGAAAATAAATGTATACATAATCATAGGATGTTAAGCCGTAATAATTGTAGCAATACTTTAATTAATTTTTGTTTTATGAAACCAATCCAATTTTATGTTAAAACCTGAATTCCCTAAAACACCGCGGAGAACCGAAATTCAAATCGAAGAATTTTTGATGCAAGTTTCTATAAACAAATGAAGCTTATCATCTATCTAGATTCTTGAACAATAGCGTTGCCTATGCTATGTAAAAAGTGTCTAAAATAAGTTGCGTTCCAGCCATCATAAACTTGGTCTATAGTATTTCACTTAGCAAGGAGTGGAGCAGATGGCACTACTTAGTCGCGCGATTACTATCCTTAAGCAGATGGGACTATAGAAAACTAGTGCCATTGCTGGCATTTCATTCAAAGGTTTGAACGTCTGAAAAACTAATTTTCGATATTTACTATTTCTATAAAGAAGTTTGAGATCTGTGCAAAAATTATTTTGGTGGTAGGGCTACTTTTATATTTTTGAATAGTACACTTTTCCTACTTCAGCAACTTTTATGAAATATAAATGAAACCCGGGTCCTCCTTGGTTGCCTATAATTTTTGCGGGCCCAAACAAAAATTCAAGGAGATATTTTTAAAAATTATCAATTATATAAATATGTTAATTTAAAACATTGTTTACTTTTCCTATAAATTTTAGAAATTGCAAATTAAAGCTTTTGTGCATTGATGACGGCGATATGCACAGATGTACAGATGTATGAGTGTAGAAATTTTGTTGAGCACGACTGACATACATAGAAACATTTCAAAGATACAGCAAAATCGCCAATGATTCATATTTCTCAATCTCTTATTTTCGTCATAGACAGCCATATTTAGCATACCGCTCTCTAAACAATTTTTTTTTGCGGCAAAAATAATCATTACGCTTGACGGCTGCATGCATCTTTTTGTATGTAAATACATAAAAAAAAGTTTTCCACTTACCGCCGCAGCGCAACTGCAAATATGGTGAGCCACGTTGTGATTTAAAATAGCAACGATTCTGTTGCGAAGTTTGCGGATAAGTTGGCTTCTGCGGCTGCTGGGGTGTATATGGCTCCCAAGGATTCGCCGGTCGATATGGTGGATAACCTGGATGTTTTGTTGTTGTAGATGTTTTGGGTGCTGTTGTGGTGCTTGGTTTTGGATAAAATGGATAGCCTTGCCAGGGTGCTTTTGTGGTAGTGGTAGTAGTTGTTGGTTTCCTTGTTATTGGTCTCCATATAATTGGCCGGATAGAGGGGGTAGTTGATGTAGTGGAGCGTTGTGTTGTCGTTGTTGTTGATGGTGCCGGCGTCTCTGTTGTCGTAGTAGTTGTAGAGGTGGGTCTTTCAGTTGTCGTCGTTGTTGTTATTGTTGGCTCCTCTGTTGTCGTGGTGGTAGTGGAAGCTAATTGTTCTGTTGTTGTTGTTGTCGTTGTTATTGTCGGTTGTTCCGTAGTCATGGTAGTAGTAGTGACTGGAATTTCTGTAGTTGTCCTTATTGTTGTTGGCTCCTCCGCTGTCAGGGTAGTAGTCGTAGTAGGACTTTCTGTTGTCGCTTCAGCTGTTGCAGTTGTTGGCCCTTCAGTTATTGTTATTGTTGTCGTAGGCTCCCCACTTGTCGTTGTGGCGATATCTGTTGTAACTTCTAACGTCGTGACAGTTGTTGGCGCATTAGTAACGGACGCAGTTGCTTCCTCAGTGGTCCTTTCTGGTGCATTCGTTGTTACTGCTTCGGGTTCTAAAGGACCAACTTCCGGTTCTAACGGCCCACGTTCGGGCTCTAAAGGATCTGGCTCAAAATCTTGCGCCAAAGCAACACTCACAAATAGAATACCGCACAAAATAAAGCGCACTTTCATCTTATAATAAAGAAATAATATTCATTAGCTGTAGAAATTATAACGGCAGCATTTATTTAATTCAGTTGAATTTTAATTACCATTTTATGAAAACAACTCAAACTCGCTTATTAAAATGTGTATTTAAAAAAACACTTCCGTTCACCAAAAGCGCACTTCTTTCCTATGCACCAGCTCGCATGGCTGTTGTCACCAAATTAAATTCACTCTAAAATAAATGGCTTAAGCTTCCCGCCGTTGTCTGGCAGAATTTTATCGCGAACATGTGAACAACGCGAAATATGATCGTTTTCGGTGAGTCGCATACTTCATACAAGTTCGTTCATTCATTTACTTAGTTATTTATTCATTGTTGAGTAACCGCCAGCATTTTAGTGCAAATTCCTCCATCATAGAGCTGATAACTCGGGTTTCATTAACTAAGCGCCTTGGCATATCAGTATTGGCAATGTAGTATTAATTTGGGTTCAAACGCACGCATTCACTCTACTTCACAGCTATGTACATACATATGCACACACACACACTTGCTATCTCTAATACATATGTACATTTGTACTTTCATCATTGGCAGTTAAAAGATGCTGGTGGCGTTGGGAGCTCGTCCTCAGCCCAGCTTTAACCGCTTGCTGCTCTTCACCTCGAAATGCGATAGGCATTTGTGGGCAGCAGCTATTAGCATTTGGCGATTGATATTCGTTCGGTTCGGCGTAAAGTGCAACATCGATGACTAAGTTCCCCCCTCCCCTTTATGCTTAACGTATGTTTACCTGGTTAAGCTGTTGGTAATCCAAACGAACGCGCATTCATGTAACAAGTCAACGCAAAAAAAAAAACTATAAACTTTGTTTATTTGTATGTTTGCACTTGTGAGTATGCGATAAGCACTTTTTGCACTTGACACCTGGAAAACTCAAACGCAATCGTATGCACGGTTTCGCCTTTTGCAATGGCCAAATGCTTTGTTCAACTTTACAATAGGGGTATTCTCTGAGTCGTACTCCTACGAGTAAAAATGTTTCTATTTACCACATTAGGGGTTCTCTCTGAGTCTTGTAAAGCCCTTGCACGGTGCACGGTTCGCGCAAAGCTGTCACATATGAAAACCGGTTTTTACCGCGCAATCCGTGCAATCTGTGCACCATGCAAGGGCTTTGCACGACTAAGAGAATACCCCTAATGTGGTAAATACAAACATTTTTACGCGTACGGGTATTTGTTTTGTTGCTAAAAATTCTTCTTAGTTATATTTTAAATGTCGCATTGACCTAGTAAACTAATTTCTAGAATTCTAGCAATGAGTTGAAGAGTGAGAAGGAGCAGCGTTATTGGCGTCATCTGCGCCTCGTCTTATATAAATACAAATTTATAGATGGAGTGCCATGATTAGCAGCTGCGAATCATAGTCCGAACGTGTATAGATAGTCACAAAGGCATCAAATATGCAGAGACAGATTCGCGTGAATTGTTACAACATTATTGCAATATTAATTTTTCGTTTTTTTTTTTATTTAAGAAATTTTTTAAATCATTGTTTTAAGTTTTTCTTGATCGTAGTAATCAAAATCCAGGCTTTTAATTACTATGTGCCAGTTGAAAGGCTGTAAGTACGGTGAACCGATAGGGAGCCTTTAACTCTCTGGTTATCCACAAAAGATATAAATCTGCATTTTTGCATTAGGACGGAACGGAACGGAATTGTAAGCCGGAAATTTATTACTTCTCCGCACACTTACCAGACTATTTGATAAATCTTAGAAGTTTGCCGAGGGAAAGAGAGTGAAACTCGTGCACTCTCAAAACTCCGATCCAAAGATACAGTTAGTTTTTCGACGGATGGACTCCTCCAGAAAAACTGTTTTTTTCTATCCCAATACTTTAAAAAATCAAAATATGCATTAAACGCCAGGTTAGTTAGTATAATGTTATAAACTTAAAATTATATTTTAATCCGAAACTTCATATATCATACAACAACAAAAAACTAGTCTATCCGCCTTTATGTCAACGTCACAATTTTTGAAGAGATACAAGCGGTTTTTGAAGGCCTCTAGAGCAGACCATCCTTCACTACTAGGTTCGGTATAGAAACTTGTTATCCAGTTTACTTAGAGATCTTAGAGGTCTAGATCTCACCATTGCGCTCATGTAATATAAAATAAAGCTATAAGTTTGATATTTGGGACAAAAAACAAAAATTTTCTAAATAATTCTCTAGGCTGGATCTCCGATCGTCATGCCACAAGGCAAAACAATGAAGTCAGCAAATCGTTCTTCAAAGCTTCTTCTTGGATCTCTAAACCCAGAGGTAGCAAATCGGACAAGGCATTAAGAACCACTCTTGACGTTGTACTCATGGAGCCTCTATATGTATACTTGTCGTCAGGTTACTCACAAGCTATCAATATTGTGCTGAAGGGGCTTTGGGGCATAATCTGTGTTATTGTCTGACAGTGGAAAGACGAAACCGCAAATGGTGTGAATACAATTTTCCAAACAGGTGGCAATCCCCCTCAAAAATATTTTCGGCAGTAAAATTTGCGAACCTCTTTCGTTTGATACCCGTATTGCAATTCTTAATTTATCTTGTCAATTAAATTTAATTAAAATTTTCAAACAGGTGGCAACCTTCCACAAAAATATTTTCAGCTATAAGCCCTAAACGTCTTTCTTTTGATGGCCATATTGTAATATTTATCTTATCGTATTAATTTACTTAAACTCAAATTTACAAACAGGTGGCAACTCTATAATTTTTTTTTCTATATTTTAAATTAGACTTCCAGCATTATATAGGTGAAAACTGCATTCGATTTCATACTTTAGTTTTAGAGTGATGCGCGTACAAACATACAGACAGACAGATAGACTGACCAGAATTCTAAAAATTGTTCATTTGGCTTTTGTTGCTCTAATAAAAACCCTCCATATGTACTAACTTTTCTTTTATGTCTATAATGTACAGACATCGGCCTGCTACAATTTTATTATATGTATGTATGTATGTATATACATAGATAATTTACTGCATGCATTTAAATTTACTAAACCGATTTTTTCTAACTGACAAGACAATATCTTGCTAGTTGCTCCTGATCTCAGAAAAAATAAAAATTCATTAACTGAAAACGTTTAAGTGACTTATACTTATTTAAGAGACTAATAATAACAATAATGGCGATTACACTTTTGTTAAGTGTTTGGCCGAGCTTCTCCTTCAATTTGTGGTGGTGCGTCTGGATGTTGTTACACAAATGGAGGGACCTACAGTTTTACGTCGGCTCTGAACGCACCTATACCCTCTCGGCTCGGTCGCAATTGAAATGGCAGTTTAAAAGAAATTGCATTTTATAATTTTACTCTGATCATTTAAAAAGTACTGAGCCTATTTTTATTCCGTAGTGATAAGAAGCGACATAAGACGATATTTATTTACACTTTTTATCGCACATACTTACATATATACACACGTGTGCTTATATGTATGTGTGCACATCGCTGCTTTCAAAGAATTGTCAATTAAGCTCGGAACACTTTGACGACAGCAAGCGACAAGCAGCATCTGTCAAATTTTAAATACACACGTTCTTACGGACACAATTATTTTGACGACAGCACGACATCTTGGCTGCAGGACTGCAATTGTCGACGTCGCCAAATTAAATCTATTTCTAATTTTGCCGGCGACAATGAGTAGATGTAGTGCTGCAAAATTAAATTGTCGCAAAATTAATCACATATTCTTGATTGTTCATGTTTTTCTTATTTACTTAAATAAAAATACACAATTTGTGAAATAAATATACCAAAATGTCAAACTTTAAAATCAGTTGTTTGCTATGTCGCTGAGGTCTTCAAAATGTTTAAGAAGCTGGCTTCAAGGCGACATTTGTCGACAAAATGATGTCGCTGTCGTTACGTCGTGAAGTTGCAGTCGTCAAAGTGTTCCGAGCTTTAGTCTGTCTTTCGTTCTGCTTGTGAAAAACAACAAAGAGAGGGAATATCAAGTGCGGCTTAGTATGTTTACACACTGACTAATTTGATACACTTTGCGCTATGATTGCACAAATGTACGCACATTCATATGTGTATACAGTCGTACTTGCTTATTCGCTTGCTTGGTTCGGTGTTCAGGCCTCTCGCGGATAAAATTTTTCTTGATTAAAATTAATTGTTTGTTGAAATACTCATCGCTCTGTTGGGATCAACGCATTTACAATATTAAAAAGCAATTCCAATTATCTATATCTATATATTATAAAAGAAACAAACAAATTTTGAATTCAACAGCAATTAATTTCAACGTAGTCTGTACGTTCATTGACAGGGTGACTTCGAAAAGTCACATTTAGTAAAGACACAAACCTGTAGTTTCATTTTGTATATTTCACATTTAAGCGCCAAGAACTATGTTGCAGCTAAATGGCTGTTATATATACATATCTATGTATGTATGTATGTATATATGTAGGTATTGCTGTATCTGATATTATCAACGTCACTAGTGTGTGGAAAACCACCTATCTGTTCGTTTCTGTTCACCTGGTAAAAAGCGAGTCTACCGATTTCGGATTTCAACGATAGCGATTTCGGATTCGATTCATTCACATCGAAATGGGACAAAACGGCATTTAATCGAATTGTGAAATTTTGACTGAGTGTTTTTATTCGCGGGTTGTTTTTGTGTCTAAGCTACTTATTTATACATGAATGTACTACATACATATGTATGTATGTACATATGTTTGTCAGGGAAATGACACAAACTCAATAACATAAGAAGGTACCACATATCTACATACATATGTACGTATGCTTGTATGTGTTATACCTACCATCCGACCCCCGAAAAAACTGTGTTGATGTTTCCTATTTAGAAATCAGCGTATGACAGCTTTAAATTCATATTTTCATACCAGCAGCTAAGTTGAACACCCAATCGGCCATCGTTGTATCGAAAATGTAATCGAAAAAAGTTTTCATAGCGTTTTTGATGTTTTTCCGTTTTGTTACATCGTTTTCTATCGCTTCGGGGTGGCTTTTCTTAGCAATTTGATGTGTTTTATGCATACATATATGGGCATTCCCATGGTGGCGCACGTGACAGTCGTACGATTTCAATGTGATACAAAAAAGGAATACCATTTGTTTTCTTTAACTTTTTTGGGCCATTGTATAGCACATAATTAGCTCTATATTTAACCGAAAAATGAAATCAATCGAACTGCTTGGTCCTGAAATATAAGCATTTAAAGAGAGTGTCGTTACGTGACAAAAAATGGAAGTTGATTTTTTCTTTTCTTACAAAATCGCAAAACTCTGCGAATTGTGGATGGCTATTTTCATGAAACTTGTTTTAATATGATTTGGAGCAATTCTAGTTGTTTTTAGAGTTTTTTTGAATTAATGCAAATTGTTTCAATTCTCTTTTATAACCCCAAGTGTGAAACGTGACGTGACGTGGCGTGACGTGACATAAATTTCCATCGTTATATTTTTTTGTTCATATGGCTTTTAAATGAATTTTCAACGCAAATAAAACATGTATTTTATGTAGAATATACTTTATATTTTGACTTCAGCGCCAATTCAGGGTCAATTTATTGGAAATCTATGATTTTATTATGTTTCAACCACATACGCCAAATTCGAACCAAATCGGACCATAAATACGGTTTTTCGAAATATCTCGACCTTGGCACCACCTAGGAAGACCATTTTATGCAAACATGATTCTACTTACATACATAGCCAGTATATATTTTAAAAAGCAGACAAATCGGCACGTAAATACGTTAGATATAAAACTTTTATTTTTTTTTGTCGTGGTGGACCTTCCGCTGGAAACACCCATATGTAATACTCCTATATTGGCAGTAAGAGCTAGTACCGTCCGAAAACACTACAGTACAGATATATCAATAAACACGTACGAAAGAAAAGGAACACATACGTTTATAAATAAACATGTACACAACACATATGTATACAAAAACGGCACTCAAGTACACAATACATTGACAAAAACGGTACTAGACTGTCTCGCTTTGATTTCGGAATGCTTACACATTGACAAGTTAGCTTACTGCCAATATAGAAGTATTACATATATGGTTTTATGTGGGATTTTAATTTTAATTTTGTTTTATTACAAATTTATGATATAAAATAAAGTGCTTTCTGATTAGAATAAGTTTATGCGTTTGCTTGGTCTGCCAAAAGGCCTAAATTTTTGTGAGAAGTGGGTGCCAGAACGTTGGCATTGAAAAATCGAACCGTGCTGATTATATGCGATTGTAAAACTCTTTCAATCATGAAAACCATACTTTATGAACATTCTGTTGCTAATTGCCATCAAGTTTCACTTTTTACATCTTCTAATATATCGAAATCTTGTGTCACGGTGTTAGTGCTCGAACTCCTCCTAAACGGTTCGACCGATCTTTATGAAATTTTTTGTGTATATATAGTAGGTACGAGAAACGGATGTAAAGTATATTTCATACCGCTAGGTGCAGGGGGCGTGGCACCTCCCATACAAATCGAATTTTTCATATTTCATATCTCTGGAAGTGTTCATGGTAGAGTACTCGAACATGGTATGGAGATATACGAAATCAATCCCATACTCTTAGAGAAAATTGAGCCTATTTGAAAAGGCGCCTTCCAACGCACTGAAACTACTACGTATCTTTGTATGCATGTACACTTTTGCTGGGTTATTTAAGACGGCTATGGAAATATGTCTTCTGACAACCACCAAACCGTAATATTAGAAGATAAATGCGTCACTAAAAATCATGAACGTAAACTGTTGGTGAAAATGTTGGACCAAATTGTTTCAATACAAAAAAACTTATTTTGGGCGGGACGAAGTATGCCGGGCCTGCTACTTTTATTATAAATACCAATATAATCGCGCTCAATCCCCGCGCCTTTTTTGTTTTCTTTGTTTGTTTTCATTCTTAGGCAGATGTCAAAAACGCTCAGAGATTTAATTCTTTCATTCTTTTCCGATTGCGTGATCTTGTCAGTTGGTTCATGTTGAACACGTGTGATCAAGAGGAGTAACAAGTATCAACATCAGAGTTCCCCTCCAGGCGGCTCTAAGAGCACTCACAATCATCACATGTAACTCCAGAAACATAGCTCACTCTCGCAGGCCTAGTGACATATCAATTTATGTATGTCCATATGTAGTTAGCAGCAAACGCGATCAATGACAAGCTCGCAAGAGGGGGTTCACTTTCACCTGAATGCAGGGTTGAATCGTGGCCTGAATGAATTAAGCCTTCGCTCGCTGCCTATAAGCTCATGAACAGTAATTTTTCCTTAGGTAAGTGAAAATAAAATTCACCGGCTTCGCTGGCTAGGTCAGAAAGTATTCAACGCAGGTAGCGATGCTGGTAGTAGAGGAAGAGGAAGGCCTCCTCTGTGTTGGAAAGACCAGGAGGAGCAGGACTTGGCTTCAATTGGCATTTCCAATTGGCGTCAGTTGGCACGGACTGGCGTGCTCTTTTGGAGTCGTCCAAAACCGCTTAGGCGGTTAGAGCGCCAATAAAGAAGAAGCTCGGTCTCACCTGATTACAGCAGATCTCTGCCGGGCGAACGAACCTCTTTTTCCACCACTTCTGGTAACAAGTGAAGATTTAAAATGAAAAGCGCTCTTCAAAAAAGATCGAAAAAGTCTAAAGACAAGTTCGCTTCACAAATGTGGAATGTACCCGGAGACATTCAGTGCAAGCGCTGAGCGCTCTGTGCTCTCAAGTAGTAAGTTCACCACCAAGCGAACAACGTCTGTTAAGATGGCTGCGCATGGACACAGGCCTGGCTTGATGAACTCTGATAGACCCAAGGACATCACCAGAGCATCGTTTTCAAACGTAGCTAAAAATGCGCGCATAAGAGCAAATCTCACGAGTTGTTTTTTTTTTTAGAGTCACTCACTTCTTTCGGCAGAAAAAAAAACGCTAAAGCATTCTTCCTGCATTTATTTCAACAAATGGACTTCCAGAAACCAATGCAATAAAAAAATAATCAAATTAAAAATGTTTTCATTGTCACTCGAAAAAATCCGAATTGTTTTTTTTTAAATAAGATTGGGAAGTTTTTAAACAAAAAAAAATGGCAGCATGCAGAATATCTGTCGCATCTATTTTGTAATTTTTGAAGTTTCACGATTTTTTTAATTTAAATAATTTAAGTCACTTCAAAATGTTAAAATTAAACGACGTAATTGTTCTTCTCTCCCAAATGAACGAGTCTAGTGCAATTAAACTAGTGTCTTATCAAATGAAAAGGATTACATTGAGTAAAAGGTGACTATGATTTGAGAAACTAAAATTCCATTTTTTTTTTTAATTTTTACTGCTGCACTCGAAATTCATTCTAAAATTGTTATACATACATAGGTATGTATATGTATATGAAGAAAATAATTTATTACTTATTTAATTACTTTTAAATTAAGGCGTGTGAGTACACATGTTAGTGGTCTGCATATGGTGCTACGGGGCGTATACGTTATATACGCAACTACGGGTGTATGAGTATGAGAGGTTATTTTTTACTTTTTTTGGTATATATTTTTTAAGATTTCTTTTAAATATAATTTCGCGATGGAATCGTGTTCTTTATACAAAACTGAAGAAAATCCATTTTCTAAGATAGGTGAACCGACATTTTCGACCAAAAACACTTTTTTGTCGAAAAATTTAACAACTCGTGAGATTTGCCAATAAGCACCACTTCATGTATGTATTTTAATTACGATTCGTGAAATAAAATACAGTAGTGGAAGAGTCCGTAGGCCCTAATGGAAACACATCCAATCCCCATTGCAAAAATTAGCGCTATAAAAGAAGCAAAATAATCCATGTGCGGGGCATATTGTAGTTGTAGGAGGTTTTAATCCATGAAATAAATAAGAGCTCGCCTGAAAGGTATTCAAACCCCAGAGACCTTCTAACAACAGACGGCGAGCGTGGGTACCGGTAACGCCCTCAAAAGCAGCGAAAATCTTAGAGAAGCTCCTAGAGTTTAACCCAGGGATACCTACATACATACAAATGGAAAGTGGCCAAAGCGGACCAAACGGATCGAACTATAATACAGGTAGTTTTGCTTCTCAACGACGAAAGTTTACAGTAGCGGACACCAAAATATCGCAGTGCCCAAGTAAATAAACGTACTATATTAAAATTATTAGCGCAGAGTGCAGAGAAGGTAGCAATTTTGAAGATAATGGAAAATGCCTAGCACCGTCAGCAAACAAAATTATTATCAAGGCGAATTCTTAGACACTTGGCTATTTATTATACTAAAATTTAATGCGGTATTCAACTGCTTTAGAAATCTAAAAATTGCATCAAAATTTCACCTATAATATTTTTTATGAATAAGGCCATTTTCAACAAAAATTTTAATACAAACAAATATAGATTCAAAAATCGGGTCCGACCAAGGCATATCAAACAGATAGTAGCATTAGAACAAAAACGACATTTTCGTGTATTTTATTGTTGCTTCCGGTATCGAAAGTGTCAAAAACTGTTCTAATTTTTTTCTTCTAAATCAAAGCGTGCCATGTGAAATACAAAAAAAGAAAAAAATATTGAAATTTGGAAAAAATAAAAATTGTTGCAACTTTCTTTCTTAGTAAATTTGTTTGCTTCTCGAATCACTGATGCCCAGTAATCAGCGTTTGTGCTGCTGAGTTGAGCGAGCGTTCCAAAAGCTGCTATTGAATCGCTTGTTTTGTATGGAAAAAGGTTTCACATGCAAATAGATTTTAAAAATTTAGCAATTTTTGCGCGAAAAAATTTGAAATATCTGACATTTTCGAGACAAAATAATTAAAAAAAAAAATCAAAAAATCAGCTGCTCTACTTATACTACCTATTCAACGTATTCATGTAAGGTGGTGTTGTTTCATTAAGCTGGCTATACAGTTCAACGCGAGCGTGAACGTGAACTTTTTATTTTGACTAATAATTTTCTGTCACCTTTTTCCTTCGGAGAATAATAGCTGACTTCGTGCTCCCCTACAATTTCTTCACCATAATTGAGGGGAAAAGAGTTTCCATAATTAAGCTACGCAAAGGCAACCCTTTTGCTCTGCGACGCCCTAATGTAGATTCAAACGAATTTAGCAATAATTAAACCATGATTTTGTTTTTTTTAATGTATGTATTTATTTTAAGATAAGAACATTTATGACGTAGCAACACGCACATAAATTGTGTAATATACATAAATAAAAATTAAAGTAAATGTATGCACATCATAATTACATAGTTGTTGTTTAATTTTTAAGGCAAATTGTTGCAAACAACTGTTGAACTGTTTATTTCATTTCTCTGCGGCATTTTTGTTAATCCTCGCTTACACTCTAAAATTACAAATAAATCGTATTTTTTTCGTAAGTATACATTTGTATGAAGGCATGTATGTATGTAAAAAGTTTAAGTTAATATCGTAATACAGTTAATTAGCATCATTGATATGTTGATAAATATTTGCTATAAAAATACTTGTAAATATATTTCAAAAATTGTAATTTCGAGATGTCTTCAAAGAGTGTTTGGTTGGTGGTTGGCACACAAAAAGCTTAAGTTTTAAAAAGCTATCTGCTTAGAAAACTGCGCTATAAACAAGAAAAGCTATTTCTTTTGTGCTGCTGAATATGAAACTATTTAGTATTTATGTACAAGTGTGTGAAAGTGTTGATAAAATGCATAAAATTGTAAGCTGCTGAAGGTGGTAATCAAAAACTTTGCTGGTGTAAGGCGGCTCTGGCTTCGTCTGTTGAAAAATCTCAAAAAGTTCTTTGCAAATATTTACACTAATTTTCTTTTTTTCCTTTTTTATTCGTATAATGCATACTTGCTGATTGTGGCATCTTTGGGCGGCGGTTATGAGAGCGATTCGATATGAGTTAAGGGAGGAGGGATGAGGTGATGTATGTGTGTATGTGTGTATGCGGATATGCGGATATGCGGTGCTTATAACACATATAATACCATTTGGCGACGTATACGCAACATTTTCATTTCCAATTAAAATTAATAACGTAAAACGTATGCATACATACATACATAGTATTTGTATGTATGTATGTATGTATGTAACTGCATGAGAAGCGCAAAGCTTATACAGCGCATAAATAATAGACGTAGGTACACATGTACTAAGGCGTGTAGTAACGGTAAACAAAAATCAAAAACATATATTTTTTTTGGCATGCATATGCGCGCCGCGAATGTGCGTTGGGTTGGCTGTGGCTGTGATNGCGGCATTTTTGTTAATCCTCGCTTACACTCTAAAATTACAAATAAATCGTATTTTTTTCGTAAGTATACATTTGTATGAAGGCATGTATGTATGTAAAAAGTTTAAGTTAATATCGTAATACAGTTAATTAGCATCATTGATATGTTGATAAATATTTGCTATAAAAATACTTGTAAATATATTTCAAAAATTGTAATTTCGAGATGTCTTCAAAGAGTGTTTGGTTGGTGGTTGGCACACAAAAAGCTTAAGTTTTAAAAAGCTATCTGCTTAGAAAACTGCGCTATAAACAAGAAAAGCTATTTCTTTTGTGCTGCTGAATATGAAACTATTTAGTATTTATGTACAAGTGTGTGAAAGTGTTGATAAAATGCATAAAATTGTAAGCTGCTGAAGGTGGTAATCAAAAACTTTGCTGGTGTAAGGCGGCTCTGGCTTCGTCTGTTGAAAAATCTCAAAAAGTTCTTTGCAAATATTTACACTAATTTTCTTTTTTTCCTTTTTTATTCGTATAATGCATACTTGCTGATTGTGGCATCTTTGGGCGGCGGTTATGAGAGCGATTCGATATGAGTTAAGGGAGGAGGGATGAGGTGATGTATGTGTGTATGTGTGTATGCGGATATGCGGATATGCGGTGCTTATAACACATATAATACCATTTGGCGACGTATACGCAACATTTTCATTTCCAATTAAAATTAATAACGTAAAACGTATGCATACATACATACATAGTATTTGTATGTATGTATGTATGTATGTAACTGCATGAGAAGCGCAAAGCTTATACAGCGCATAAATAATAGACGTAGGTACACATGTACTAAGGCGTGTAGTAACGGTAAACAAAAATCAAAAACATATATTTTTTTTGGCATGCATATGCGCGCCGCGAATGTGCGTTGGGTTGGCTGTGGCTGTGATTTTGGTGCGTGCGCAAGCGGATTTTGTTTCACATCTCTGCTTATTGTTGCTATATTTTCGGTTTAGCGTTGGTTTTTTATTATTTAGAAATCATACGATTGATCCTCATCATCGCCCTTGCGCACCTTAAAGAAAAGTTTGTAAAAGATTGCCGCAATAATGCCACCAAGTATGGGTCCAACCCAGTAGGCCCAGTGATCCGTCCATTCGTTTTGAACGACAGCCGGTCCAAAGGAACGCGCTGGATTCATGCTGGAGCCAGTCAATTTAACCTGCAAATATTGACATTTAAAAATATTTGTTTCTATACTTCTTTTCGTCTACTAATTGCCTACTTACAGCACACAAGTGACCGGCTGTAATGGAGAGTCCAATGGCAAGTGGCGCCGAACCTTTGATGTCCGAACGGCCTGGATCGGAGACAGCTTTGACAACGAATACCAATATGAAGGTGATCAAAGCCTCAATTAGTACTATTTGTCCGCTACCAAGTCCGGTTGCTGGCGCAGAAACACCCAAGTTTGTGCCGGCGATATCAGCGGTTACTGAAGCCTGAGAAGCGTGAGATGAGAAAGTTATGTATGCTTTGCTTTTATAGAATTAAGTTGTAGAGTGTTCACTGATACTTACGTATATAAACGCTGCGCCAGCAATGCCTCCAACCAATTGCACAATTATGTAGAAAATACTCTTCAGAATGCTCATTTCACCGACAATGAGGAAGCCAATTGTGACGGCGGGATTGATGTGGCAACCGCTGATGTGTCCGAGACCCTGAAAAAATAGATTAGAATGAAATAAACTTAGAGATTTGTTAACTACAAGATATTTGCTGACAGTAATTATAACTAAATTAAAATACAATATCACGAATTTGGTTATAAATTTCTCTTAATCCTTGCCATACCCTACCGATCATCATCTGTCTACCCCGCCGATTAGCGAGAGTCAGAAAGGATTTGTAAAGGTTCAAGAGTCTGGATTTTGACCTTCAATCGTATGGAAAAGCATCGACAAACGGTATGAAACACAGAGTTATAGTGATCTAAAGAATGAATCTTTGGCGTCATATATAGATGAATGAGGGCAGGATCCCCTGACATCAAAGAAGGTAGATCCGAACCGCATTGGTAGCGGGATCCATTTCGCAAAGGGACCACCTGATTACAGGGGAACGTAAAGCTAGGCTGTAGGTAGATATTTGGCACTAGACAAGACAGTGGTTAATGAAATAACTTGACAGAGAGAGATAGAGAGAGAGAGAGAGAGATTGGGCAGCATCGGAACCTACAAATACAGCGCAAATGGATCGAGTAGCAATGCGATAGCTTTACTTATATAGATACCTATATCCGTATATTTACTGCGATTGAGCTCTATCATCACAAAAATGTAGATTTTTTCATCTGCAAATATTATGCCGCTGTTAAGAGTTTTAACTGTTTTTTAGTCCTCAACGTATTCAAAAATATTTGTGAATTAAGCAAGGAGAGCCGACAAAAAAGGGGTTATGTTTGAGTATAAAAAATCTCTTTTGATTCCACATAAAACAACAAATTTTTTGGAGGCGCTAGTAATTTGTACATATGTATGTATCTTTATTTGGAATACGTTGATAAAGTTTAAAACAATTGGTATTGAGACTTTTTATGCTAAAGCTCTTCTTTGACCTGAGGTAATTTTTTAGAAAAAATATTTAAAAAAAAAAAAACTTATTTATAAAAGCTCGATTTCTTAAGGTATTTTCAAATGGGTCCAGCTCACATAAATTTTTGGTTTTTCCGAAATATATCGGCGGAAGTCTTAAAATATAATAAATTTTATAATTCCGAAGGATTTTTTTGTATGATGAGTGATACACCCTAATGTACATACAAATTCGGTTGTTCATAAACCTCTCTTCACCTCATTCCGTAAACCAAATGAAAACATTCCCACGCCCGTTCGTTTTTCATACATCTTCATTCCGTAACACGTGATTGGATTTTAAATAAGTGCATATGTGTGTATGTAGATATTAACGTTAAGCTCATGCGGGTAACTGATGTTAGTTCTTAAATTCAATTGTGCTAAAATTTGCAATGCTAAATAATTATTTACATAGGTGCGCGCATGCACAGTCATTCTGCGCACATTAAAATTATTCTTTAAGGGAGTACATAAGTACATACGTACATTAAGGCGTATCACGAAAAAGTTTGGCGTATGTCAGTTTTATCAATATCGAGATATCGAGAAAAAGTTTTTGGCGTACATTTTTTTTATGCACCTGCTAAAAACCGCTAATCGCGTTGTTTGCTATAACTTTCCTATTTACTATGCGATTTTTTATGAAATTTTTATGTCGCTGAAAAGGCCTCGCTCATGGCCTCAGGCCTCATTCTAGGGATATTAATTCTAAAATTAGTGAAGATATAAATTAAAACAGTTTTGAAGGTCAAAATTGTTTAATGGCCAATTATAGTCCTGAGCGACAGAAATATTTCAAAAATCGGATATAAAATAGAAAAAATTATAGCAAAAAACGCTATTTAGCGTTTTTCGCGGTTGCCTAAAATTTTTTTTAAACCCAAAATTTTCTCTCGACATAAAAGTTTAAATAAGACTGACACACGCTAAACTTTTTTTCCTGCATATGTCGTGATACGGCTTAATGTACATATGTATGTACATATACACCGCAACGCTTTGACAAGCGTTTGAATGCAAAGCATAAACAATGCTTACATACATTCTTTTCTTCGAAAAAAGAAAACGGGCAAAAATCAAGACAATTTATTGAACGTCATTGCGCATGCGTGAATATACATATTCGTTTAACCCCTACCAGGAAAGGCTTTTTAGTTTCGAAAATTTAGCTTAAAGTTGGGAGGGTTGCAATATATAGAGCAGTTTTAAGGCAAATCTTTTACATTATCATGCTAAAACCTAAAAGGAATTGCAAAAACAAAATAGCAGTAGATCTTTCCCAAGACAAGGCTTTAATAGGTTAAAATTCATTAAGAAGTCATAGATATGTATTTTTGTATATATGCAAATATGCGTACCTTTATGCCACTTACAGCACTTGGCATATTACACTGCCATGACTTTTAAAATTTAGTTTCAGCGATTATGCGTTGTTGAAATTGAAAGTGATTATTTGCGAAAAGTTTTAAAGGCGGATCAACGATTAAATCTGCATTGTTGAAGCCACAGAGACATTTATTTGATTATCGCTGATTTAAGTGATGTATTGCATATTTATGTGGTAATGTGTGGTAATGGTTGTTTTTGATTGTACTGAAGGTTTTATACCGTTCACGAAATACGAATAAAAGATTTGAATTTTAAATAAAATGTGGCTAAAAGATTTGATTTAGATACATTGTAAAAACATAAATACATACATGCATATATTATGTACATATGCACATTAGGGTGGTCAAAACACACAGGAAAATAAATTTTTTTGGAATTTTTATGCTGTGGCCATCCAGAATGGGATGAATGGGAGAAAAAGAAGCGCGTATTTCTTATTTACAAATCAGTTAATATTTAAGCGTGCGGCCGGGCTTTGCAGTTTTCAATGCATTTTACATGTACTTGCTAAAAACCATTAAAAATAAAAATTGTTTGATCGAAAAAGGAAATTTCGCGTCAGAAAACTTCCAAAAATTAAACTATGATGCTTAGTTAACTTCAGAATTTTACTAGTTTGTCAAAAGCAATAAATTTACCTTACATAAATTGGCTATTTTACGGATCTTGTTTTCAATGAATTTGTTAAATTTTATTTTGCATTCTACTCGATGTTTTCTGTAGGTTTGTGGTAAAAAATTTTAAAAACAGGTTGCCACCTATTTGAAAATTTACAGAATATTTAAATTTCTAGATTAGGAAAAAGCGATTTAAAAAACTGTTTTGAAATTGAAAATTTGCTCGAAAATCAAAACATTTAATAATGGAATAAAATTGAAAGCAAAAAAGGTAAAAATATTTCACATCGTTATTTTTGAATTTTTTGAAAAATCCCTAGAATATTTTAGTGCTGGAGGGTATAAAGTAAAAATTAGATTCATCGAATTTGGGCAGTTAAGGATATCAAAAACTTCGTAATAATACGAATAGCACCATCATTTCAAAGCCACCTGCGACTGTAGGGTATGACTTTAAAGTGAATGCCAATACATACATACATACATATATTCAAAAAGTTGATGCCCCACGTCGTATGCGTAATTTTTGTTCACATTTCAAGTGCTGTATGATTTACGGAAAGCGAAAAAAGTCTGACTCTACGTATGCAGTGCAGTAAATGAATTCTAATATAAACATAAATTCCAACTGCTGACTATTAAACTGATTTGATGAGGCTGACTTTATGACTTTTCGCATGCCAATACAATTATGTAGATACAATGTAGCAATGCTGAGCTCCACGCCATCTTTTCAACTACTCGAGTGCATTCAATTCGAATGTTAACCGAAGAGTGCTTTGCACAATGCAACATAAAAATATGTGCACTTTGAGTGAATAACAAAAAAAAAACAATCTTACCATCACCGCAAAACGGGCGCGTATGGGCTTAACCATGTCTATCGCGCCACATCAGCGGCTGCAACAGCAAAGCAAAAAAAAAACAAATCACATTCGCCCATAACCATAAACAATGCGAAGATGTGATCTGAACATGTCATGCTGTGCGCTAAGCACTAAACAATCACAACTCAACTGTTCTAAGCTTTTTGGTAGTACTCGAACTAAAAAAAAAAAAAAAATAAAATTAAACGCAATAATGCTGGCTGCTGGCTGGCCTCAGCTTAAGCACTCAAGGCCATATACTACGCAAAGAGCGAGCTGCAAGCATGTTACGCATGCGCGCAATAAAATGCAAAAATACGAGAATGCGAATATGAAATAAAATCATTGCAATCGCCGCTTGCAAAAACGGATCTAAGGCCAAGCATGTCGCCGTGTGGTGTGGACATTTGCGGCTGCCAACACTTTGAATGGAATCGAAAGTGTTTTGATTGAAAATGCATAAAAATTGCCAGCAAAATAGTAGAACAAAAATTTGTAACAAAATGTATTCACATTTGGGTATGTGATTGCTGTATGTATGTGTGTGAGTGTGTGTTTGTGTGCGATTGTTGTAGGCCTCAAAGTGTTGTCGCAGACAGCTTGGTGTTGCGAATGCCAATGTTCATGCCACCACTGCTAGCCGCTGGCCGACCGAACAGTGACCGCCTTTACGCACATAGCCATGACTCTGGTGGCATGTCGCATTTGGCTGGGGAGGCTTAGCGCAACTTGGCGGCTTGGCGGCTTGGCTGGCTAATGATTGCTGATACGATAAATTGTAGGTCTTTGGCAAGTAAACAAATGTTAGCCAGCTAATATGAATAAACGAGTAGTCACTCATAAGTACTACATATATATAAACATGTACTAGGCAAATAAATAATATCATTCAATATCAATGCTTTGCAGCCAGCGCACAGCTGTGATACCTGCGTTCGCTTGTGCGCGGGCCTTTGCGCACGCGCAGGCCGCTTTGCTAATGCGGTCCATTCACATTCATTTGCGAGCGTGCGCACTACCTACATACCTATGTACATTTGCGTAGCCTTTTAGCGCACACGCAAAACTTTAATTGCGATTTTTGTCTTAATTTAGTGGTTTTAGTCTCGCTCGTAGTAAACCATTTTTTTTTTTATATTTTGTTTTATTTAATTAACGTAGTATATTATTTATAGTGGCTTAAAAGCGCTTGTTTAGATACTTTTTGGTTCGTTTGCATTGTGGCGTTTTCGTTCAAGTTTAATTGACCGCCACCTTCAATATAGCATGTATTTTCAATGAATGTGTGAGAAAATTATCAGCTTGCGTTTCTTAATAAGTTTATGAGTGATTGCAACGCAAGCTGCAAAGTGTATTTATGTAAATGCTGCGAGAATTGAAACGTATAATCATATTGCTAAAATGTATGATATCATGAAGTTGTTTGGAAAATTTTATTCTTTGCGTGACTCTTGGGGGATTTCCAAATTACTTATGTACTTATATAAAAATTAAAATTTTTATAATACAACTTCGTGAAAGGGAGATAATTTTATTGTTTTTCAATCGTAATGACTTGATTTTGGCCCAACGTAAGTCCAACAAAACCAGATAATCTGATGACTTGAAAAGCTAAACCCAAAGCATTTGTGACTTAGCCTCCTGAAGGTAATTAATTTTAACTTAAAGGTTCGATGAACTGATGTATGGCCTATCCCCCACAGAGTATCCCATAGGTAGTCAAAGAAAGAATCCCCTTAATTTTGATTCCTGTTGAAAATGTAAATATTGACATCTTAAACGGTGGCTATGGTAACCAACCAATCAATTGGGGAATTCTTGGAAGTACACAGCACAAATATGGAAACCTATATATCGTTGGCTGAGTGGAAGATCGCTCCGTATTAGCAAATGATCACAGAATTTAATTAAAAAACGCCGTATCTCAGCTGCAAATATATTTAAAATATGTTGAAGCGTCAGCTGATTTTTTAAAATTAATTCTGAAATAGGGCGGTCTTCAACAAAATTCAGATAAAGGGAATTCTTTAACCTTTTGCTGAGATAGGGCGATCTTCCACTCAGCTGACGATAAAGGAATGAGGCCAAAATTTTCCGAAATTAGCATACGTACGAATATGAATTAAGGCTAATGTATTTGGATTTTGCGGCGACTGAAATTAATCAAAATTTTGAGTACCGCAGCGTGAAGTTATTCGAGAAGACTGGTGAAACAATCGACATTCGAGCAGAAAATCCGAGCGTCCCAGAGTGCGGCCGAAATCCACAAGTCGGGCCAAAATTCGAAGCTTTAAATAAATTATTCGAAATTTGGTACTTGGGGGTTTTCGGGGTCGCTAATTACGAATTCCGCTAAATTTGGAGCTTTTTAATTTGGTTTCTTAGAAAGATATTGAGTTGCAGTTTTATAAATACTTTTCTAAGTAACGTCCAATAGGTTTAAAGGCAGCATCCGATAGCGTTTTATTACTGTTTCTTTGAACAACTCAGATTTTGTTTAAGAAAAAGCAAAAAAATACCATTATATTTCTGCTTCTAAAAAATTTCTGTTATAGTGTTGATATTCACACAACTTTTTACGTATTTTATAAGCCTTCAGATGTAGATTCCATTTTGTTTTGTTGGAGTTCCTTTACTCAAAGTACTTTTACACGTTTATAACTTTTCCTATTAAATCTTCCATTAACGTTGTGCTTGGGCGAAGACCACATTCCGACCGAAAATAAAGAGGGGACTTGGGCCACAGGCCGTTACGGTCTTCGCTTCTCAGAGAATTGCTTTAGGCAACTTAATGGTGAAAAAACCCTATCTAGAAACTGTTTTTCAATTTTGAATGCAGTTTTGAATTTCGGCCGCCCTGTGTCCCCGTAATGTGTGAATGCCAAAAGCCAGAAAGAATCGAATACGAAAAACTGTTATTGGCGAATTCTGTTTACTGACGAGAAAATTTTTACGGTTTCCAGCTTATGTGATCATATCTCGAACCTTACTTTGACGAATGATTGGCCATCTGCTGCCCAGATATCAATCGATTGAACTATAAATGATGTTCCATTCTGGAGGCCACAGCTTGTATTACTCGTCCTCTAGGTTCAGGTGAATCTTCGAAGTGCGTCCTTACCCGGGATGTTAACAATTTCCCATTGCATGACGAGCGAGTGGCCAAACTTCGCCGCTACTGGAAGGCAATTGGAGGCCACTTCGAATATGTTATTCAACAACTTTTAGCCATCGGGTTGTACCCGTACTATGAGTGAAAAAATTTTTGAAAAAAATTCACACGTTTTCATTTTATTTGCCTAATACCGCGGATCAAAATGCGTGTACCAAGTGTAAGTATTACATAGCGTTTGAAAAGGGATGATGGAAATTCGAAAATAGAAGAATATTATTACACTGAGAAACGAGTTTAGTTGCGTTGTGTGTTGAGAGAAAAATATTTAGTTGAGGTAACCTAACTCTTTTAAAAGTGTACCGAATATTACTAGAGATATGAATTCTGGGTCAAACTGTGCCTAACAACTTCGATAAAAAAAAAATATGGGAAACATTCTTCATTAAAAAGTCATAGCAATAGTAACTATGTAGTCCAGCAGCCATAAATTGTGCTAATACTTGGTAAACATAATATTTATTTACTTTAATTACCGGAAATTGTAAGTTAAAATACGCACGAAAATTGCACAAAGACGATTGCGTCATCAATAAAAAATTGCTAAAATCCATTAACTGGGAAATTTAAATTATGCAAGCAACATTTACTTCAGCATAGCCAAAAGTAGACTTATGAAATCACAAAATTCTACAACATTTTTTTTTCATTAAAAATTCGCGGCATTAAATCTTTCAGGTTGGAAATCAGTGCAGTAGTAAATAGATAAAAAATATACATATGTTCGCATGTATATATGTACATATATGTATATGTATATATATTAATAAAAAAATATGTTGTCCACATCCGTTCAACGAACCACAAAAATACCAAACCATGAGCCGCAAAAACCAATTCAGAGCCTACGGGTACTAGCAGTCACGTGAACAGCTCTGTAGCCAGCCAGTCAATCTGCCAGTCAGTCGGCAATTCGGTCAGTCATTGCGACAACCTTAAAGCTAATCAATAATACCGAAGCGCGTAGCACTCGGTGGACAAAAATAACAGTTCATAAAATTGTTAGATAGATTTAGTTTACGCGTCGCGGCAGAAAATTCGAGCAGACAAGCGAACACCACAAATTGATGCACACCATAAAACTTGCAACAACGCACGCACCGCCACAAATGCACCAGTTGACCATGTGTGGATGGGAGAGCAATGGCAACGTCAATGGGCAACTCGGCAACGGCTGCTGGTTCGATGTTGAACTGGCCGTAGCCGAAATGGCGCACACCATTCAAACGGCCAAGAATGGCAGTGGCCACAACAGCATTTAACACATTTAAACGCATTTTTAAATGCCACAAAATGCCGTGTAACCAAATAATTACGCGCCCGTTCGATTGCGCTTGCACGCACGCACACCCGGACACCCGGACGCATAGGCGCACGCATGCGCAACAAGCTGCTAGTAGCTATTACCGTTGCTATCCACTAAAGTCGCTGTGTCATTGTAACTGCGTTGCAAGCACAAAAGCACATTTTAGCGCGCTGACAAACACCAATCACCAACCACTACCATCAATGCCACGCATCGTCGTCGCCGCCGCTTCGTAACTCATAAATTCAGTCTATCTGCGCACAAGATCGTTCAAACGATAATGACCAACGACGAATGCACACAGACAGCCAATCGAAGTCCAATTGGACTACTCGTTTTATTGGCGCTTGGGTCTGGGGCAATCGATCGGCGGCTAACCGGTGGGAAGGTCTATGCTTGTCTACATATAAGCGAGTGAGGTGGAAGGGAGGG